CGGCGGTGAGGGTTGGAGAGGAGAAGAAATGGTGAGGTTTTTTTTTTTTACAACAATGGGTTTTTTTTCTTTTTTTTTTATTTGGTTTTTGAATAGGTAATTTCTAAAAAAAATTGATATAATTGATATTTTGTATGAAAGGGTGTTTTTGTACTTTTCTTTTTATTTTGGTATTAAAGTAAGAAAAAACTGATAAATATGTACTCAATTTTGGTTTTAAACTTGGTAGTATTCAAGTAAACAAAAGTAGGGATTTAAAATAGTTGCCCCCATTTACCTATTCTTTTTCTCTCTCCTCTTAGTCACCCATTATCTTCTCTCTCTCATGTCTCTCTCTCTCCTCTCTCTCTCTCTCTCTCTCTCTCTTAAAATGCATTAATAAGGGAAGGAAAGGATATACCTTTCATCTATGTTAGACACATAAAATGTCCATCTTATTTTACATTTTGTTTTATTCGATACATGAAAAAAAATTTAGGTTAGAATTTATTTTAAAATAAAAAATTTGTCTGCTTTTGGGTTGGAATTTATTTTGAAATAAAATGATCAAAACAAAGCCTTAGTTTTTAATAACAATTCATTTTTATTTCATATTACATGGTATTTTTCTCTATTATTTTCTCGTAAGAAACAAACAAAACTAAGGAAGATGATTTTTATCACCATTCTTTTTAGGACCAAACATAATTGGGATTTCAAAAGTTCTTGATTTCCTTTTCATTTCCATTTGCATTTTCATTTTTCTTATTTTGAAATCCATGAACCAATCAGAGCCTAAGTGATAACTAATAAGATTCTAGTAACCATGGTTTGGAGTTAGGGTTAAGATTTTAAATTAAAATTAATTTAAGATTTTAATTAAAACTTAACTAGCGCCACATGTCAGTAGGAGAGACACCCGGAGATAACTGATAAGATTCACCACCCATTGGAGTCGTTCTTAACCGGGTGCAACATCGATATACTCCTAAATGTTATATGTTCAACAATCAAATGTGGAGAATGTAGTGTAATATTCTTAGAATGAAATTACTTTAAAGATTACATTTGTCATAAAAGTAGAAGTTTTGACAATCTAGGAAAAATATGATTCCCTTTCACCATTATTTGATTTCGAAAATCAAATTATCAGAATTAAGTACATTGCCCAAAAAAATGTAGCGATTTGAAGATTTGTGGACTTCCTGTTGGAACCACGGCTGCACTTCGACGATTGATCACGAAACTTGTGGATGAGGCTTGGAATCCATTTGTTCTCTAATTTTATAGGTAACAAGTTGCTGCAATAAACAACCACAATAATATGGAGATAGGCAAGGTGAGGCGCGGACTAGGTCGCTCTCTTAAGACGAATTTCACGATCCCTTCTCTAATGAGGTGCAAAAAGGTTCCGATCGTGTCGCCTATGGGATACAACAGCCCAGCCTATCTCTCCGCTGTAACTTCACCGAAATTGCACGTTCAAGTGAAGTAGAAGCTTACACCCGACACTCAACAAGAGCTCAATATATGTATAGAATATATGATCTTTTTGAAAGACATTTTTCATTCACTCTTTATCTTCACTCTTACATTTTCTCAAGCCACTAAGCCACCATTTTATAGTGTAAAATAAGGTCATCATAAACGCTATATTTAATATAGAATTAGGGAAATTTATGGAGGTTTTATGAGGCAAATAAAGTTTTTGTATGTTTCAAAATGTTGGTCAAAATTACCTCATAAATTAGACAAAGAAAATATTTAATAAAATATTATTTTTATTAAAAAACCCCAACAATCCCCCACTATTTTAATAAAAATAATAATACTTGAGCTCTTGCGGAATATTATGCATAATGAAAGTGAGCAATGCCTTGAAACCTTCACTTAGTACAATATGTTTCCCGTACTAGAATCAAAGTGGACTTAGCCTTGAAACAGTGACCCTTGGGGCACGTAGAATCATATTGCACACATAATACTCAAAGTATCCCGATCGAAGCTTCTAAAGCCAACACATTAACGGCCATGTGCTTTACCCCATTTCTCGTGAGAGCTCTAGAGAACAGCCTTAATTCTCATAGGAAGCGGCCCCACTTCCACACTCACAAGGTGAATTCTATCAAGGATGTTTACGTAACTCCAACACCCCACCATCCGGGCTATAGAACTCATTAAGAGATCAAAGTCTCAACCTCACAATTCGTTACGAGCTTTATTAGTGCACACGCACCATAGGGATGGATAATAAAAGTGTGCACTTTTATCACTATCAAGTTGCTTTCAGATTCGTTTTTCTTCGCCTAGTTCGTAGGATCTCTAGCCCCTAGGCGATAGTATCCTCATCAACAACTTTACAAAATATATTAGGCTTTCACCCAATCCCCCTCGATGCATTTCAGATGATTTCTGAAATAATGTGAAATATAATTTCACAATTTTAATAGCGCTTATTCGACATTTAGTCTCATGGACTCAATGGTTTATTAACCATTTCTCATATAATTTCACATATAATTTCACTTAAATTTTCGCGTGAATTTTCACATAAATTCACAGTACTGTATTTTCTTTTAATGGTTCCGGTTCCCATTAAAAGATTCTCGCAATATGCCAACTGCAGTTTTTCAATCTCATTTATCAAAGCACAAAGCATTTGATTTTTCTCAATCATATTTATCAAAGCACAAAGCATTTGATTTATTCTCAATCATATTTATCAAATCACAAAGCATTGATCTATCCCACATTAGGATTTTATATACCACATTCGGTATCAACTGGCCTCCTCACAGGCTAATGTCAAAATAATCAATCAAAATTGATATGATTTTTGACTTTTAAATTATAAACAAATAGTCATTTGCACAATGTGATAAATCTAATCAAATAGGAATATAATTCCTCTTATTTAGATTTTCAATAATCAACAATATTGAAACTTTCAAAGAACGTTTCACTTCACAACTCACAAATTCATTTTCGCAAATTAATATATACTCTTAGGCCTTTCTAAATTATACCAATGTCACGTATATGTAAAATTAGGCCTTTAATAACTACTTGCATATTCAAGATAAATAAAGCATAATTTATCACACTATCACTATGAATAATTTGTAATCATAAGATGAGCAATTAACATAAATCACATCAAATTCAATTGTAACATGCTCATATACGTAGACTCTAAAAACCCCCACTATTCCTCAATACTAAAAGCATACCAATGAATCATGAATCAAGAAAGAATGTATTGACTTTGATCATTCTCAATTTCGCAATTAAAATTTATTACTAATACCCCCACTATTTCTCGATATTAAAAGCATATTGATCAACATATAAGATATTTAAACACATACAATATTAACTCCACATAATGAATCATGAATCAAGATACATTTCAATAATTATGATCATGTTCAATTCTCAATTAGAGATAACTACCATTACCCCCACTAATTGTCAATTTAATCGGTTATTTTTTTTTTTTCAAAAAATAATATATTAATTAAATTTAATCAATGCATAAAGGACAATTCATTGGGTAATAATGCACTAACGGTAACATCAAAGATTAAATGCAATTAAGCACACATTAACCAAATAATTACTCATACGGTCATACCTATAAAGTAGTATAAAATCAATTTTATAACTGAAGCCGCTTGTGAAATAATTAATTGGCAGGTGATCTCCTTAGACCGAGAATATTAGAGAAAACAATATTCTCATTATTCAAAAAATAAATTAAAAATCCCAGATCTGATGAATTTCAATTATCAACTTTGTCGAACCCTATATGTTCTTTATTCGTCAAAAAATCGCGCGTAATTGACAGCTTTGGCAATGCTCAGTATTTGTAGCATATCTCTCTCGTTCGATGTCCAATTTCAGCGATTCAAGTTGTTTCGGACAGCCAACCGAAATCCCTACAACTTTCGTGTTTTACGAATCCTCAAATTATGATTATATAAGGTCGTAAATTTGACTCAAAGTCTGCACTCGTGAATTGTACGAAAATTCACCTACACAAAAATAAGATCGTTAATTTTGTTTAGTCAACACTAGATAATAAATAAAAATGAATCATCTCCCTTTTCATCATCAAAGGTTGCTCTTTTAGATCATCGTCAAAGCTCATCTTCATGGGATTGAAATTTCGTCTTAAATTGTTGGAACCACGGCTGCACTTCGACGATTGATCACGAAACTTGTGGATGAGGCTTGGAATCCATTTGTTCTCTAATTTTATAGGTAACAAGTTGCTGCAATAAACAACCACAATAATATGGAGATAGGCAAGGTGAGGCGCGGACTAGGTCGCTCTCTTAAGACGAATTTCACGATCCCTTCTCTAATGAGGTGCAAAAAGGTTCCGATCGTGTCGCCTATGGGATACAACAGCCCAGCCTATCTCTCCGCTGTAACTTCACCGAAATTGCACGTTCAAGTGAAGTAGAAGCTTACACCCGACACTCAACAAGAGCTCAATATATGTATAGAATATATGATCTTTTTGAAAGACATTTTTCATTCACTCTTTATCTTCACTCTTACATTTTCTCAAGCCACTAAGCCACCATTTTATAGTGTAAAATAAGGTCATCATAAACGCTATATTTAATATAGAATTAGGGAAATTTATGGAGGTTTTATGAGGCAAATAAAGTTTTTGTATGTTTCAAAATGTTGGTCAAAATTACCTCATAAATTAGACAAAGAAAATATTTAATAAAATATTATTTTTATTAAAAAACCCCAACACTTCCTTTGTATACTAATTTCAAATGCGCTGCACAAACGATCATTACAAAAGGGAAAACATACTACATATGCGACATATCGCTAGTAAAAAAACTAAACGTACAATCTCACATTGCACATGGAAAACCAAGTGCATACAGATATTCAAAAGAAAAAAAAAAAAAACAACTCATACATATATATACAAACATGCACACATACATGCATATACATATTTTATTTACCAACACCGTAAAAAAGAGCTATAGTTAATTTCGTATTGAAGCAAACTCCTGCAGCTCGAGCTGATCGGCACCGGTGGTGAAGTTGTTGAACATCGAGCAGTCGAAAGGCTGGGCGAGCCGCGAAGGAATAAAACCAAATCGGGATCCAAACAGATCAAAGTGCACAAAGTTGTTCTCCAACTGATACGCCCCGATCGTGATTCCCGCTCTTGTATTTGTTCCTCCATCAACGAAAGCCAAGCAAGACACGTTCGGCCTCGCACTCACTAACGCATCGTACCCGAAAATTCTCCAGCTCACATTTCTGTTCTGCATAACAAAGTCTATGTTAGGAGCGCCAACACGTGTCGGTGGCAAGATTCTACTATCGAAGCAGAGTCCAAAGGGAGGTACGGCTTGAACTTGAGGCACACCGGATAGTTGTTTTGCAAAGAATTGGCTAAAAGTGTTGTAAACCGAGTGCTCCATAATCGTGTAAGGTATCGTTGTGCTGATCATGGTCCCACCAAATCCTCGGGTTTTCGAAAGTAGGGTGGTGTTGAACGGGACGGTTTGGTTGTTTATATTGATCGATCGGATAAGTATGAAGTACTCTCCTTGTGGGCCTATGGTTAACGGGGTGTAGGCCATGGTTTTCGGTGCTACTTCCGAAGGAATGTTTCCGATGAAGATCGCTCCTTTGTCGGTCGAAAGGGGAGAGAGGCACATGGCGAATTCAGGGCGGAACCCGAAATGGGAGGCGAGCTGTAACGGCAAAGAAACAGGGGTGTGTCCCAGTCCGGCAATTCCTCGAACACCTTGCGGGAGCGGTCCTTGCAGGAGAGACGAAGGCGCACAAGCGAACAAAAACTGCGGATCGGTGGCCCACCGACGGACGCCGCGGCCGCCGTTGAAGGCCCGAACAGAGACGACATCGAGCCCGAGTTCGCTGACGGAATTCTTATGGGTGAGTGGGTTGGTGGCGATGACGCCGCAAGTGTTGTTGTGGCAGCCGGGGCGGGGGGTGGGGGAGGACCTGCATTTGTGGCAGTAGTGGACGCCGGCGCGTGAGCATTGGGCGGAGTGGCAGAAGGGAGCTGTGTAGGTGGAGGAAAGGTAGTTGTCGTCGCAGTTGACCCACAAGAACCTGCCGTTGAGATCGACGACGAGGGGAACGGCGATTTGAGGAGTTCTCTTGCGGAGGATGGTGACGTGGAGGCTGGTGGCGTTGTCTTTGGTAACTGAGAGAATGAGTGTGTTTGGTTTGAAGGGAGCTGATGATGATCTGTGAACAAGGGGTTTTGAATCTGATATGGTGGTGCTGAGAATGACAAGGGTGAAGATGGTGGTGGCAAACTTGTTGATTGTTGTCGGAGAAGCCATCGCTCAAGTTTTTGTGAGTACGTAGGATTGATTGTGTGTGTGTTTTGATGGTGGTACATTGTATATATATAAGCATAACACCCAAATACAGTATATGCAACACTTACTCCCTCCGTTCCTAAATAAGTGTTTTTATTTTGATTTTAGAAAAAATCATATAAAAATGATTAAAACAACCTTTATCAATTTATGATTTATAAGAGAAAATTAATGATTAGAGTTTCATTCATAAGGTTAAAACAGGAAAAATGCATTTAATCCAGTATTGAAAATCTAAAGTGACAGATAATATGGAACAAATATATTTTAAAAAAGAGACAGTTATTGTGGAACAGAGGGAATACCTCCTAAAGTATCCTTTGTAACATTTAGATCTCTCAACATTAAATATTTTATGTTTTAAAATTAAAAAATAATAAACATAACAATCTAATAATTATTGAATCATTAAAGTTGAATAGTAACTAAAATTTAATTATTGAAAAAAGAAAATAAAAAGTAATATGGTTTGTATAATAATAAATGAAAATATATTTTAAGAAATTAATGAAAACTAAAAAAAAAATACTTAAGATTACTATTATTTATGTATTGATTTCTTAAAATTATATTGATATAAATATATTCAATTAATTGGTCCAATAACAGTTAGATGTTAGTTATTAAATATGTACCAAACAATACAAGATAATATTTTTAAATTTTAAAGTATTATATTGTTCGAGAGATATTTTTAGTTATATAATTTAATTAATCTTTTACTTATTATTTTAGATAAAAAAAAAAAGGAAAATTTTAAGGTGTTAGGATTTAAAATACAAATTGAATTGAGCTTGAGGGGTAAGTGTTAGTGTGTTACAAACGATACTTTAGGGGTTAGTGTTACAGAGCGTATTTATTTGGGGTGTAAACTGTATTTAACCCTTGATTAGATATATGGCAAATAAATCGGGAAATTCAATGCTAAATCCGGTTATTAACACCCGTTGATTGTTAACCGTAGATTATACACATAATCACAAATACCAATGTCTATCATGTCATTGATTACGATAGGCGAATTAAGGATTGTGTTTAGGTCTTGTCCGATAACACTTGGATTACTTTTGGATGAAGTCTAAATGTATTTCCGAAGTATTACAATTTATTGAACTTGATTCTTATTTTACAAATTGTGTCTATTGATTATCAAAATAAAATTGAAACTCTTGTTATAGTTGTTATCTATGTACGATAATTGTAGTCATCAGGGTAAGCAAATTAAAGATGAATAGAAATGGGGTATTTTAATCATTATATTATGGTATAGACTAATATTTGAATAGATTTATATCAAGTTTATTAGATTTGGACAAAATATTGCTGGCGGAGAACTTGAGTTACGTATGTCAAGTGAAAAATGACAAAAATATAAATTAGAATATTTATTTGTAGGTGACGTTTCAAGAATAGTTGGCAAGCTAAGTTTAGTATAAAAGGGTTGGAACAAAGATAGTTATCATTTATTTGTTGTGATGTAATGAAGGCACATTTGTCAGGTAAGCGATGCTCGCGGCAACAAGATTGAATTTCACTTGCCACGTACCTTTTATGGGTACTTTATAATGGGGTTATAGACACATATGATTGAAGGAATCCACAGCCAATCATATAAGTTTACTGGGTAAATTTATACCATGTAACAGTGGATTTTGTCGTTGATCAATAATCAATTGATTCTAAATTTGCTATATTTTGTAACTGTACCACCACGAATATTATCTAACCATAAGAGTGTTGTTGATTCTAAACTAAGTAACTTTAAAAAATAAGAAGCTAGTTCTCAGAAATAGTCGATAAGAAAATTATAGTTGTAATAATAATTTCTGGAGTTAACTTCCACTTCACTAATACATACATAATTTATTCAGAATCTCTCTCTCGAGTGCTATTAGAATGAGGTCTGGTCTTAGGGTTTAGGGGGCCCCAAGCGAAAGTAAAAATCATGGCTCTTTGTTTTACATATATGTTTTTCATTATATGTGAACTTATTTTCTTGTTTTGTAAATTGTATTTATTGAAGTTTCATATTCTAAACCTTGTAAGATATTATTTTCTAGATAAAATAATTATAATTTCTTCATTTTTGTTCTTTTTTGCAACACATTTGAACGTAAAAAAAAAATCGCCTAAACAATCATAGTAGAATAATAAATGAATATAAGTGGTACCAAAGTTTCTTCCAAAGTGGTATTTGGTGTTCGGTAAGATGTTTGATTTCCTCTTAATTCGTGTGTTATAAACCTATATTTTTTTAAACAAAATGCATATACTTGGACTACGATCAGGGCCGGTCCTGGGATATATGAGGCCCTAAGAGAGCTTTAAGAAAATGGTTGCTTTATGATTCAATATTATTTAACTTAGTAAAACAAACAAAAATAAATATTTAGTTACATGAGAATAAAAAATGCATAAATCTACAACAAAAGATACCACTTAAATTTTTTTTTTGAATTGTTAGAGGATACTACAAAAAAGACGAATTATTTTTTTCTCTTCTTTTTTTCGATAATAATAAGTAATACAATAGTAAATAGTGATCTGTCGGTGGCATTTTTCAATCTTGTATGATAATGGATGCACAAAGAACTCTAATGAAAAACGTTTTAAGTTGATAAAAAAAAATTGTGCAATTAATTTAAACCTCCATTGAAAACAGACATAAGGTACAATTAAATCTATACTATCTATAAAAGTGTGAATGTTAGGAAAAGTTTCTTCCATTTTTTGTGTTTCCTAATTTGCCCCTTACATAGGTTATATTTTTAGGATAATATAGTAATGTTGCTTATTTTGCTAATTATTCCATCAAAAAAATTGTAAAGGTTCAAAATTAACTGTAACTCTTGGAATTCTTGAATCCATTAGTCACCATATGTTCATTCACCGTGCAACCATCTTCATTGTCTGAGTCTCTTGGTATTCTTTTTTCACACATTTGCACTTTTATTATCATAACATGGAAAATGAAAGACCTTATTACCTCCATTATGACAAAAAAAAAATTAATAAATAAATAAATAACATTTCTGTACAAGATGGCACACGGTGGTTAAATCATTAATAAGAAAATAATTGACCATTAGATTCATTACATGTAGCAATACCAAAAATATTTAGGCTATTGTATTATACATACATACACACTATAATATGTCATTCTCACCATGCTGTGAATCCGGTGTAGAAGAGGAATTATAAGGAAGAGATTTTTTCCCTAGGTGCATTATTATTTGTGTATTTATTTGTTTTTGGGTGCATTATCGTTTGCCCTTTTTTTTTCCTGTCGATGTAGCATATGACGTTTGTTTATGGTGTTACATGCATGGATTTCCATGAGCTCACTGTAATTTAATTTTTTCGAGCAATGTTTTTGTATGAAGATGTCACTGAAGTTAAAGAATATGCCCTCTACAAAATAAATTGTTCATATGTAATCATGTTTTCGATGAATTTTTAGACATCCGTGTTAATGTCATTAGTTGTAATCCTTTATTTTTTTGTCAATGAATTGCAATAGTCACCGTGACAACGAATTTCTTGATAGTTCTGTTGTAAGTCTAATATAACAAACTAAAGCCTTTAAGTAGTGGCTAAAATTACATGCATAGTTGAGTGGGAGATCAGATGTAATCGTAGTTTCACGATCATTTTTTACTATTTCACGGTCATTTTTTACTATTTGTGGGTGCATTATCGTTTGTCCCTTCTTTTTCTTTTTCTTTTTCTTTTTCTTTTTCTTTTTCTTTTTTCTCCCCATGTAGCATATGAAATGCGTTTGTTTGTGGCATTATGATCTATGACATGTGGATTCCTATATGTTCATTGTTATATAATTTTTTCGAGCAATGTTTTATACAAAGATGTCACTGTATTTTTTTTCCCTCTCGATGTAGCAAATGAAATACGTTTGTTTATGGTGTTACATGTGCATTCCTATGAGCTTATTACAATTTAATCTTTTCGAGCAATGTTTTATATGCAGATGTCATTGAAGTTAAAGATATATCCCCTCCACAGAGCAAATTATTCATATGTAATCATGTCTTTGATGAATTTTTAGACATCTCTGTAAATGTCATTAATTGTAATTCCTTTATTTTTCTGTAAATGAATTTCAATGGTAATCGTGACAACAAATTTCTTGATAGTCCTATTGTAAGTCTAAAATAAAAATTAGAGCCTTTGTAAGTAGTGGTTGATATTGTATACAAAGTTGAGTGGGAGATCGGATGTAATTGTAGTTTCACGATCATTTTTTACTATTTAACTTATATTACCGAATATGAGATTCATAAATTAATTGACTGAATCTCTCTATATATTTTTTAAACCATGAATCTCTATCCCTATATGTTGCCCTCTTTTTTCCTTGAGAATTTTTTAAAACCGCATTTCAACTTGATAGATCTCCTTTGCCTCTTATATTTAGAAAATTTGTCAAAATTCGCCAATTTTAATTGACATCTCTTCTGCTATGCAATACTTAGAATTCAAAAGTTGCCTTAACTTCAAAAATAATAGACCTCGGCCCTCATCCGAAACATCATTTGCATGCCCATAATCTATCACTAAGACGGTGTTTGGCTAGGCTAGCTAGGCTTATAAACTTTTAAAAAGACTTTATAGATGTTTAAGAGCTTATAAGCCCTTTTAAAGTAGTTCGTATTTTTTTCCACAAAGATCTTATAAATTCAATAAATAAGATGTTGGAGAGCTTATACGATCTTTTTTTTAAGTATCTATACCCCACATTTTTATTTAATAAGATCTTAAAATAGTAAAAACAACTTATAAGCTTATTATCCAAAAACTTCAATAATTATTCCAAATAAGCTTATCAGCTCTCAAAACAACTTATCAGATATAAAAGTTTATCAATTATTTTAAATAAGCTTAACCAAACGAGCTCTAAAATAGTTTTTGGAAATTTATTTTTCCTATTTTCTGTTAACTATCGATTGAAAATAAGTAAATAACATCTTTTAATAATGACCATGAGCACTTCAAAA